GGGGATTCGAACCCGCCACCTTAGGTATACGTGGCTGGCGCCTTAGCCGGTTGAGCTATAGGTGCCGAGCCCAGAACATTTCTTTTCAATTCAATTCAACAACCTTTTATTAAATACCTGTGCCATGTACTGTGGAAAATATAAGATCAAATAAGTACAGAATCAGCAAAGATAATTTTAAAGATATAGTTAAACATAATTCACCATAAGTAACAGTTCTTTCTCAGAAATTTTATAGTAATGGTGAATCTAATTTGTAATATGTTTTTCTCATTAGAAATTAAGAGTTACTACACTGGAGCAGTGCATGTGGCTCAAGAAGTAGGGCACTGGCCCCGTATACCAGGGGTGGTGTGTTCAAGCCTGGCCCCAGCCAAAAACTGCAAAAAAAAAAAAAGTTACTACATTGACTATTATATATTTACATGTTATACTCATTAATAAAAATTCATTTTTGAATTATTTACACTGGCTCATAGAAAATGTCGCTCATTTCCATTATTACCCTTAATTTAAACCACGTTAGCAAAAGTCTCTGAAGGCAGAAATGACAATAAAACCTTCATTATGCAGAAGGTTTGGACCCTTCAAAGATGTAGATAAATGATACATTTGGCTGGAAACTGGCATTTATATTGCAGGATGCAGCATTACTGATGTGCAGCCTGGAGATCGAGTGAGTACTTACTGTAGTGTTTACTAAAATTCAGGGCACCTGAAATACATACATACATATGGACACATTAGATAAGGACTTGTCATATTGTATAGCACAGGTATTCAGCACGAAAGTACGTATTTCAATTATTTAGGTACAAGTGTCTGAAATGTCTTTCCTACTCATAAGGAGGGATGGGGAAGGAAAATCAGGCTTTCTTTAAAACTTGGCTCTGGTGTTCAGCAATCCATTTGGTTCAATTTAAAAATTCCTACTGGATGCTGCAGTGTTCCACATTTTTATGGAAGGGAAACAAAAGCAGACTGATAATCTGAAAAACTAATTATCTTTCATGTATTCTTGGTAATTTTACATTCATATGTGGGACATCTACTTCAGCTGGAATTATCACGTTTCAGTGCTGACTCACTAACCACTTGATCTCCAGGCTGCACATCACTAATGCTGCATCCCACAATATAAATGCCAGTTTCCAGCCAAATGTATCCACTTATCTGCATCTTTGAAGGTTCCAAACCTTCTGCATAATCAAGGTTTTATTATCATTTCTACCTTCAGAGACTTTCTTGCTATATTTCACTTTTTTTTTTTTGAGACAGAGCCTCAAGCTGTCCCCCTGGTAGAGTGCAGTGGCATCACAGCTCACAGCAACCTCCAACTCCTGGGCTCAAGCAAGTCACCTGCCTCAACCTCCCAAGTAGCTGAGACCACAGGTGCCTGCCACAACGCCTGGCTATTTTTTGGTTGCAGCCATCATTGTTGTTTGGCAGGCCTGGATTGGATTCGAACCCGCCAGCTCAGGTGTATGAGGCTAGCGCCTTAGCCACTTGAGCCACAGGTGCTGAGCCATATTTCACATTTTTTAGAATAGATAACATTTAGGGAAAAAAAATCAAAGAGAGCCCTGAAGATATGGGTAAATCTCGGTAATGTGTGCAGAATCCAGTTTTATCTGGGAAGAGATCTAGTAAAGATCCAGTTCAAATGTGTATCTCAAACAGCCTTAAGGAATTTACCTATGGTCTTGCACTCTGCTATTCTCTAAAGTACAAAATTATGATTATAACACTTTAACCCATGAAATCAACTCCTTGGGAAAGGGTTTTAGAGGGTTTATATGAAATAGCCCATAGGCTGCATTATATAGTCAATAAATAAGTAAATGATAGTAGCAAATACAATCACAGTGGGCAACCTCAAGAGCTTTTTGAGGGTATGTCAATAGAAGCTAACACTACAGGCATACTTAGGAAGACTATTCACTGCAAAGGGGACCTTAGACAGAGGAAGCAATGCACTTTTGGCTAGGGCTGGGCTTGAACCCGCTACCCCCCCCACCCCCCATATAGCGCCTGGCACCCTATTCCTTGAGCCACAGGCGACACCTGAAGCAATGCACTTTTCTAGGAGAGACTGAAGCCCCTAGAGGAAGAGAATCTTTTTATAGGCAGAGATAGGAATACTGTGACATGCCATTTATATTAATTAGTACATGCTTTTCCCTTTTTATACTAATTTTGGGATATACTGTGGCCAGTGTTTCTTATTAGGGGAGAAGTAGCCTCTGGGACAATCCAATGAAGTGATCTTCCTAGGTGTCTGGGTAGGGTAACCAGCCAGTTAGACAGCTTAGCCCTTCATACCTCTACACCTCTGTCCCAGCATTCATGGACCAATGGTGGTCTCTCTCTCATGGTTGTTTTCAGGTGCGAGACTACTGCTTATTTTAGCAGTTCACTATGCCATATCAGGTTTTAACTGCAGTACTTACTAAAATTTAGGGGAACTGAAATACATATATACATACACATTATACACTGTCATATTGTATAGCATGTGTATTCAGTGTGAAAGTATATATTTCAATTATTTAGGTACAAATGTCTCAAAGATTTGGTACAATGAGCATTTATTAAGAGTTGATTATAAAGATGTCTTCTATATTATTGATACACTAAAAATGAGACATTAAATTTTATAATTTGTGAGGCTTTTGTTAGATTCAGAATACTTTCTGACTTGTAACCCAAAAATGTAAATTTTCTTGGTATAAGGACAATGAAATATGGCCATTGCTCTAATGCAACCCTGTAGCTGAACACATTTGGACAATTTTATGGAAACACAGATATTTCATTTATCTTGATTGACATAAAAGTCATATATTTTTACAAGATGTAATTTATTTTGATGTCATTTTATTAACCACCTTGTAACTAGTAACTTCGAGGCAAAACATTTTTCCACTACTTTAAAAATCATTATCTAAGGAGACTCTTATTTCATAAAGGCATATTTAAACCTGCAAATAATCTCTTCACATTATTGGTAGTATGAACATCTTTAAATAATAAAATAAATCCACATTACTTATTTGTATTTTCATGCATATGAAATCTAACAGTAAAACTATTTTTATAAATGCATTCTTTTTGTTTTTCATATTAAGGCATGATATATACAGATTGACACAGTTAAATGGCATATTTATAATTCTATGAAGAGTCAATAGTTATATAATTAATATTAAGGTTCAGAACATTGTAGAAACCAAGTAATAATAGAAAGGTAGTTAAATCAATCCAATTTAAATTTTAGACACAAATCGGGTTACTCTTTATTACATTCATGTATTAAAGAGTTGTATAAAGTTTTCTTCATATTTATATACAATATTATTTTCCTGCATTCATTAAAAATACAGAAGGTAGTAATTGTTCATATATGTATAACTTAATGATATCCTTTAAAATATTTAAAGCACAAACAGTCTTATTATTTTTTAAAAAAAATTAAAAGAATGATTGACATTGAGACTGCTGTCTTTAAGTGAGGGGATTTCAGTATATATGTGCCAATTCATAATTCTCCTCACCGAAGAAAAATCTGAGTTACAGATATCACTAAAAGTTACAAAAATACTTCTCAGGTACTCTTTTTATTATCCATCGTGTCTCTGAGTGACACACATTTTTTCCTATAATATTTATTAATTTTTTTATAAAGTGGAATTTAAGCCTGTAGTGTCTTTTCTGAGAAGTTAGAAGTTGTCCATGGGATAAATATGATACATAGATACATAATATATATTGTTTCCAGTTTAAAGAAGATTGGTTATGAAAGTTTTAAAAATATTTTAATGCAACAATTTTTTCACATTTTTAAAAAATGCAACTATTTAAAGACAATAAAAGCCCCAATCATCCTAGTTGTATGCGCTAGTTCTTTAGTCAGTTAGTCAGACAAAAATATCCATATTACAAATCCTGTAAAACAACCTGAGTATCACAATACTGTTCTTCTTAGTACATATTAATTTCATAAATTTCAAAGTCAGGATTCTCGTCCAGTTGAAATACAGTATTTGTAGTTAGATATTAGGATTTTTACAGCTTTACACTTTTAATAAATATTTCAAAATTAAATTTATATAATATATCCAAAATTTCAACTGAATTGAAATTCTATCTCCTTACAGAAATTTATTTGAAGCTAATTGTCATCAAATAAACTTTGCTTTAAAGTTAATATAAATTGATGTGAGCTTACTATGCAAATATTAAATGCATCAATCAAAAACTACTATGTATGTATACCAAATTATCTTTAAACACAATTATCACCTAACACAAGTGCTCATATATATTTGATTACCCTTTTTATTTTTCACCCTCAATTTTTTTCATGTCTATATACTTGGTATTAGCCAAAAGGCTGAGAAGTGATTTTTCATGCCTATATAACTCATATCTTTATAACTGAACAGTTGAACTTTATATAAAAATATCTATAATGTTTTCTTTTCTTTTTTTTTTTTTTTTTTTGAGACAGGAGCCTCAAGCTGTCCCCCTGGGTAGAGTGCCATGGCATATCAGCTCACAGCAACCTCCAACTCCTGGGCTCAAGCGAGTCTCCTGCCTCAGCCTCCCAAGTAGCTGGGACCACAGGCGCCCGCCACAACGCCCGGCTATTTTTTGGTTGCAGCCATCATTGTTGTTTGGCGGCCTGGGCTGGATTCGAACCTGCCACCTTGGGTGCACGTGGCTGGCGCCTTAGCCACTTGAGCCCCAGGTGCCGAGCCATGTTTTCTTTTTTAAAAAAAGTATTTTGACAGTATATTCATATATTGATATGTACTAAACTTATAACTGAAAACTTTTACACAATATGAATGAAATTAGTGGTTTATGATACATCTTATAAAGGACAATATAGGTGTTTATTAACTTGAAGATCAGTTATGCACACTTTACATTTTAATATTTCAAGATATTCAGTCATTCAAATATTGAGTACTACTTGCATATCAAGCATGGTACTAGGTGTTGCACTATTTTATATGTTTCAGTGTTTCAACAAGATAATATTTTGGTACCTTTCATGCTTTGTGAAACTTTTATATGAGGCCTGACAATTAAGTACATGAACTCATCCTAGAAAAAGTGCTACACACCTTGCCTTGCTGCCAAATATCACTACAGTCTCCTTCGCTGCAGGCAGCTGTGCACTGACACCAGTGCCCAGTCTACCCTTTAAAGCAATTCTGAAGCTCTCTTTCTGGAATGGCTGAAATTCCAGAGCTGTTGTCATATTACCTTCAATGTCCTGAGTGCCATCAAAATGTCTTCCTTTCAATATTTTCTTTATCTAAAGAAAAAAGTCACTGGGGACCAGAGCAAGTGAGTAAGGAGGATGTTCCAAGACAGTGCTGTGTGAGCTGGTGCACTGTCATGATGCAAGAGCCATGAGTTGTTGGAGAAGAATTTCAGTTAAGATTTTCCCAACTTTTTCTCTGCTATGCTTCTCTTAGCCAACATTCATTACGTACAATTTCATGAATTTCTGAAATGTTTTTATTGGTTCTGCTCATTACTGGCTACCCTGACCTCTTTTATCAGTGACGCTTTCACTCCTCTCAGAAAAACATTTAATCCATTTGTACACTACTGTTTTCTTTGTGGCATTATCCCCATAAACATGCTCCCTGATCTTACTTCCATTTTTGCCAAGTTTAACAAGAAATTTACAAATATTTGTTGATTGCTTTGACGTTCTCAGGATAACACACAAAAACATGCAACAACAATAATGAACGCCACTCAACCAGACATCTCCACACATCCATGTGAACACAGCTGTGAGACACTAACACACCAAAGCTGTGAACCCCTACCAAGTTGTTTGCACAGAGCTGCCAATGTAAACATATAGTGTCAAGTTTGCCAACTTAATTGTTAGACCTGATAGGTTTTTATTCAGTCCTTTATTATTTAAATATTTCCTTCCTCCTAAATGTGGCTATTACATTTTATACAGAAGTCAGCTATTTTTTCTTTAAATTATATAGATATTTTATTTTTTGAAGTTAATAAATAAAGTTAACTATTGTTATCTACCCTTCCCAACCCCTGGTCCTCCTCCCCACCTTGGGCTCTTGGACAACCAAGATTAAGGTAATACTAACTTACAGAAGTTCTTCTATTAAAAAAAAAAAAAATGAAGCATGGAGAGAAATCTTCTATCAAAATGGATTGAGTCGTATTCCAGTACCTAAAGGTGAGAATGGATTCACCTTTGCCCACATCAAAGCATCATTCAATGAGATAGCAGATTTCCCATCTTCAAGGAAAAATACAGGGCCCTGTACACAGTAAGAGTTGAGGAAAGAGAAGATGAAATTATAAATCTGTAAGATATTTTTTAAGTTTCATAAGCAGAATCACTTATAAAGAACCAATGGTAACATTTAGGCAATGCTAATAGGAAATTTAAGACTATGAAAAGATTAGTATTTTTGAACAGCTACCAAATATAGAAGCTTTATAAAAATCTTATTATTCTTTAGTGTCTGTCAAAAAAGAATTCAGGTTTATAATTTGAATTCTTTAAATATAGTAGTGCTACCAATGACAATATGTGTGGTTAGCTACTAATTGCCACAAAGTTTTTTTTTTTAATTCAAGCCTAGTACTAAACAAATATATTTCACTATTTTAATTATGTTGCTTATTTCAGTACAGCTGGGGAAATAATTTAAATAAAAAACTTTGAACCTGGTGGCGCCCGTGCCTCAGTTGGCAAGGGCGCCAGCCACATACACCTAGGGTGGCGGGTTTGAGCCTGGTCTGGGTCTGCTAAGCAACAATGACAACTGCAACCAAAAAATATCTGGGCGTTGTGGCAGGCACCTGTGGTCCCAGCTAATTGGGAGGCTGAGGAAAGAGAATCGCTTAAGCCCAAGAGTTTGAGGTTGCTGTGAACTGTGATACCAGAGCACTCTACTAAGGGTGACAGCTTGAGACTCTGTCTCGAAAACTTTGAACCTCTTCCCCAGAAGATAAAGAATATATTGTCCTATACCTGATTATGTAATGTAAATTATGTTCAGTCACACGATTACTAGCATATTTATAATTTAGTTGCATCCATTATTACATATGCCAAGGTTAGTTTGGAAGAACTAAATGTGAAAAACTTTTCAATCTATATACTCAGCTCTTAGAAGGCAGAGCATGATTTAAAAAGCATAAAATGCAACAATAATTTTCTTTTCTTTTTTTTTTGCAGTTTTTGGCCAGGGCTGGGTTTAAACCCACCACCTCTGGTATATGGTGCTGGCGCCCTACTCCTTGAGCCAGAGGTGCCGCCAAATTTTATTTTCTTAATTAGGTTCTAAGGCTATCAGGGTTTTGATCATAATTTCAAATGATACATTTTGTTATTAGATAATGACTCCTAGTTAACAGAAAGCCCTTCATAGGAATAGGTGAAGCAGACAGCTTCCTGTTGGTAGGTCCTTGAAATTTTACAATTAGAACTGTAGCACATTGATTTTCTTTTGAAATATAATAGATATATCCTAGGATGGTAGTACTTCATCTATAATAGTCACGTGTGCTTTAATGTATGAGATAATTAGATTTAGTTCAGGTACAGAGAGGTTAAATAGTATCTATTAGGTTATTTGGCTATCCCAGATGGAGAAAAGAATCTTAGAAGGAAACAAGGAACACAAAGGTACTAAGTACTAGAAATGGCACATAAAGGGCAGTCATACTCTAAAACTTCCATACTTTTTGTTCTCAAATATAAGCGACTGAGTTTACTGCTTTGGTTCCTTATGTCTTAACACAAGTGGGTGATAAAGGTATGGACAACTATGTGCCCTGTTTGCTTTTTGGAACATAGTGGTGTATTCTGATATTTAAGTAGCTTGCAGTGGCAAGGTGAGTTTTAGTTAGGGATTATATTAGTATCCACATATTTATTTTGAGTGGCTGTGCCAAAAAATACCCTCCTCATTGGCAATGCATGTCAGCATTACAAATGTAATTTTCCACCTTACATTAGAGATAAGAAAAATCTGCTCGGTGAAATGTGTACATTGCTGGAAGGTGGAGCTCTTTTACTCCAATCTGTAGTGTCAAGTAGCACTTCCCTTTGGCTTTGTTTACTCCTGTAACTAGTCCTGGTTCTAAGATGATGTCTTCATCTCTTGGAGATAGTTGTCCCCCAGGGACCTCCCTGGACTCCTTCATCCTCATTAATTTGATTGTACAGTAGGGACCATTCCTTGGCAAACAGCCATTCCTTGTGATTGATCCTAATGACTTTAATTGCTGAAAAGTTTGGTTAACTCTGTGTAAAAACACACATAATATCTAAGCAATATACTATAAACACCTCAGTCTTTAAGTGCTTTGTTTTCATACAACACAAATGAAGACTAGATAATTACATTCAACCTATTGTGATACTATTATTTGTAACTGTGCTGATTGTGACTTTGCTCCCTTATTTAATTTCCCTTAGGATGTGACCTATGTGTATTTTAAAACATATTTGTTCCTAAGTACATATATCATTTGTAACTAAGCATACATAGTATGAGAACTGCTTCCGTGGTAATAGTACAATGATTGTCTCTCCGGATTTATTTTAAGGAGAAAGCAACTATTTAGACTAGCTATGGGCTATCCATAGTAAAGGCAGTAACTCCTTATAGACTCCAGACCTCTTTATAGTTACCTACTTTTATTCAACTTACGTTGGTTTTAGGATAATATTTCAAAAAATAAACCCATAAAAATGATGGAAATATATACTTTATGCCTGACATGAGGCTGTACCTGGATTTTTAATCCTGTTAGACAAGAAATGTGAATATCAGAATGACTTGGAAGATTTGATCCAGTCACATAATCTGGTCCAATAATTCCTTGGAGTGATTCTTCTTTTACTCTCTTTAGTAAAGTTGCATAAACCATTCTTTGTGAATCAGAAGGTGTATAAGGAGAGTCTTCCAATGATCTACATTTTCAACAGATGTTAAAATTTCATTTTTGGAGAATCATAGAATTACTGAGGTTTAGGTTAGAAATAATCTCTGACGATGCTTTAGTTCTCCTTCACAGATGGAGGCAAATTAACTTTACACTTAATTTATAATAAAACAAAGGACTTTAAAGAGGCAGAAAATAATAGTGTAAATTTTACTACATTATTACTGATTTGTTAGTGTGAAATCAATACATGCTAAACATATCAAGATTCATTGTTCTGCTAAAATTAAAAATGAGACCATACACATTCCAAACACATTTTTCTAAAAATAAAATATCTGCACTTCAGTTTTTATATTATATTCACTTACTGGTTGGTAGACTGTGTACAAGCTCTCCACGCATCCAGTTCTTCGGTGAGCTGTTCAATTTTTAAAGGTACTGACACTTTCCGACGTTTCAACAGCTGACTGTGGGAAAAAATTAACATCTGGCATCAAAAACTAAGATATCAGAAAATGCAAGTGGAATTTAATTGCAAGTTTAGATTTAACAAGTATTGTTCAAAAATGTATTTGCGTGTAAACATGGATACATATATAGTAGAGATACAGATGCTCACTGGTATGTTTAGCAAAGTCTCTGACTAGTCAAAGATATGCAGTAAACACTGAGTGATCAAGTGGACGGACAGATGAACTGTGCATTGCATGGAGAATGGTCAGACGAGGCATACAGTGGGGATGATAGCCACAGTAAGGGACAACACTTAACCATGGTTCTGATCACTAATCCTGGACAACAGAAAAATAAAGATACCACCAAACAACACACAAAACAAAACAAAACACTACCCCCCCAGGATGAACAGATTCGAGAAGAAGATGATTTTGATTTTGAGGGTACTGAGTTTAAGGCTGGAGTTTAGCAAGCTGCTGGATACACATGCAGGCTCAAGGAGAGCAGGCTTCTCCTGCATATAAAATAATGAGTCATCTCCCCAGAGGTGACAGGGGAAGCCAACAAACGGTGAGGTTTCTGAGGATGGAATGCGGAGAGGAGAGAGGAGTGGAGACTCAGGAAGAGAGAGCAATGGGAATCATGAAAAAGCAAGGACAGGAGGAGGGAAGGAGAGAATAAAACTCTAGGGAGTCATATATTCAGCAGGTTAGGGCAATAAATATGAGCAGCAAAACAAGATAGCAAAGATGGAATTATCAGAGAGGAGACATTCTTTGAAATTAGGGAGTTCTAAATTTCTCTTAACATGTTTCCCTTAACTTAGACATGTTCTCTTAGGTCTCTTCTGCCTCATAAATAAAACCTTTCTTTTGATTCTTGATATTAATTTAATGTTTAATTAAGAATGTTCTTTATCTTTACCTTCATTATAGTATATAGCTGAATACATTTCATTAAACGTTATTTTATTTCTGTATGATACATCCCATTGCTCCTATAACATATTTTAATATTTTTAAAAGTTGCTTCCAAGTTTTGGTTATGCCGCCTACACAGAAATAGGTTTTTCCTTGAGCATTCTGAGAGTATTAATTCCATATTGTTCCTTAGTTTCCACTAGGTGGCACCTGCTGCTTCAACTACACAGCAGAGAGAAGTTGGGACAGGAAAGGCCGTTTTTCTCAGAATGCTCTGCCCCATGGGAAGGATACATACTCATGAACTCTCAGCATTTGTTAGAAGTCAAAAAGGCCACCTTCTATGCCATTTAGCCAACTATTAAATACTTAAAGGTACTGGGAACTTTATTTTAGAGTCTATTTTTTAATTGAGTAATTAATGGTTTTTTTTTTTTTTTTTTGAGACAAAGAGTCTCACTCTGTGACCTGGGTAGAGTGCCGTTGTGTCGTAGCTCACAGCAACCTCAAACTCTTGGGCTCAAGCGATCTTCCTGCCTCAGCTTCCTGAGTAGCTGAGACTACATGTGAGGTCAGAAACATGCACCTGCCATGATGCCCAGCTAGTTTTTTTGTTTTCAGTAGAGACAGGATCTTGCTCTTGCTCAGTCTGGCCTCAAATTCCTGAGTTCAGGTCATCTACCTGCCTTGTGAGCCACAATGCCCCAGTCTAATTATTTTTAAGCATGATGGCTGAAGTTCAGCAAGTTGTTACAAAATGTCAGAGTCTGACTGGTAGGTTATACCCGAATATAAAAGACTAAGGTGCCTGCTACCACAAACTCCCTTTACTTTGCCTTTTTCTACTGTAGAGACTGCTTTGCTTTTTTCTACTATAAAAAAGATGGGATGCCCAATGTCCCATCTTCTTTGAAAAGTAGAGTTATACAATTCTGGCCAGTGAGATGTAGGCATAAAACCCTAACAGGATTTTCCTTATTGAATAAAATGGTCTTGCTAGGAAAAAGTCCTTTGTGGTCTCTGTCTCCTGCTTAGAAGGCAGTCATTGCCTGTGGAGGCTACACCTATCTCCTGGCCACAAGAAACTCGAGCAAGAGGAGAGAAGTCACACGTCAGCACTGAAGGAGGGAAGAACACAGGTCCTGCAAGAAATCATCCAAGAGCTGTGACAGCCCTGGAATGTCCACATTGTGTGTCTTGACATGCAAAATTATCATAAACTAAGGTGACCAGAAGTCCCACTTTTGGCAGGACAGTCCCTATTTTTAACAATCTGTTCTATGTCCTGTGGCGTTTTTAAAAAGTCCTAATTTTTGGAAAGAATGCACGACAAGCTAGGGAATGGCGGGAGAACAGGAAGGGAATACACAGTTTTTGGTTTCCATGTGGCTATTTCACCAGGATATGAGTTTTATATTAAACAAAAACCTTAATCAAAACATTATTGGTGTTGGTTGTGCAGCGCACATAATACATAACACCATTCAAACAGCTGCTGATTTGTTGCCCATAGATGTGGAAAATATTGTTATTAAAATATATTCTTAATTCTATACATACACTGTGTGAACTGAAATGCTTAAAGAATTTTGTGAAACTGTGGAAGTTGAATATCAGAAAGTACTTGGATACAGTAAAACGCGCTGGTTAGCTCTTTTGCCAGCGGTCCAAAGAATTTTGAAAATTATGATCCTTTGAAATCCTACTTTCTGTCACAGGATAAATGCACTAGAATTTTCTAGATGAGTTTTTTTAAAAACAATCTTCAAAAATTTGGCTAGAGTTTATACACAATTAAGCTGCTCTTTTTCAAAATGCTATAAAACTTATTGAACATGACAAAACTTCGGTAATTGAAGTAGCAAATGAAGTTAATAATTTAAAATTTCAGTGTCAAGAGCAGTTAGAAAATAATTTTCTTCTGTTAACTATCTGTAATAGTATAAGTCAGCTAGAAGAACAAGGTATAATAAATCATGCAGATATCATGAATCACATTAAAAAGTTCTATAGTAACTGCATAGATTATTTAGAAGAGTGGACGGTACATTACAATGATATTGAACATTTTCATTGGGTTACATTAAACCAAGAACTTAATTGGAATAATGTGCAAAAATCATTCGATCATATTACTCAAAATTTCCCATATAGTAATATTTCCAAAAGTGATCTTTTTAATGAGGTATCATTATTAAAAAAATATACTGATAAGGAAAAGGTTAAATCTTGGGTATCAGCAAAAATCACAACAGAGAACAAATGGTTAGAAATATTTCATCATTTTGAAACAAACCATTTTCCATATAATAATGCACTAAAAATTGTGGGATATGCGCTGTCCTTACCAGGAACTAATGCTGCGACTGAATGTGTTTTTTCTATGGTAAATAAAGTGTGGACATCAGAAAATTCACAATTAAGTGTTGAGACTTTGAAAGCCATTTTATGTGTGAAATATAATTTAACAAATTCTTGTGAAAAATTTCATGACATTTTAAACAATGACAGCAATCTACTAAAAAAAATTCACTCAAATGAGAAATATGCCAAAGAATAAAATAATAATATGCATAATTTTTTATAATGTATTATATTTGTAAATCGTACTTATGTTGAAATTAAAAAATATATTACAATACTATTTTTGCATTCTATGAAAATTTTTGTTGCTCCATATAGACCAAATTTTTAACTAAGAACCCTCACTCTCCGTCAATGGTGTCCCGCTTTACAAATGTTAAAATCTGGTCACCTTATCATAAACTGCATGAGTTTAACTTAGTGTTAGGATTTCTGTTATTTACAGCCTAATGCATTCTTAATTCCTGTAGTTAACTGCCACTTCATTATGAAGTACATGCTGAATAAATGAATGGATGCATGTAATGATTCATTTGATGATACCTTTAATCCCCTTCAAGACTATTCAACTTAGTGAAAGGAATTTATTTCTCCGTGATTTTATGATAGAAGAAAAAACATTTTTTTTTTTTTTACCTTGTGTACTCATAAAGTGCTGGAATAATGCTTTGGTACTGTTTTCTGATAGCCAACAATGCACCAATATAACCACATAATATTAGCAACTCATTTCGAGCTCTATAAAGAAAAAAATATATATATTACTCAACTTCCACAATTTTGAGGCATAGAATTTTACTTGCATATACCCTTCATGAACTTATATTTGTGTGTGTGTGTGTGTGTATGTATATATGTCTATGTGTATATATATATATATATATATACATATTTTTTTTTTTTTTTGCAGTTTTTGGCCAGGGCTGGGTTTGAACCCGCCATCTCTGGCATATGGGGCTGGCACCCTACTCCTTTGAGCCAGAGGCGCCACCTTATATTTATATTTTAATGGGTGACATTTATCTTCTTTTTAGCAATATATATTTTGGAAATTTTCTAAACTTGAGGAAGATGATTTATTTATCAGTTAATAATTTTCTGTTTAGACATTTTATACTATATCAGAAATTATAAATTATAATTTAAAGTCATTAAATAGTATCTACCACTTGCCTGATTGTTTTTCTCTATTCCCTATGTGATTTGTTTCTAAATAAGTACTTTAGTCAGATTTAGGAGTTCTGGGCTTACTGTGTGACTCTAGGAAAGGGAAAGAGTATTAACTCCATTTCTTGATGAGGGGAGCTGCCAGTTTCTCAGGATGATTAGTTATATGGACAACTTAAGTGGTGCTTGACTTCCGAGATGGTGTCTATTTTCTATTTTCTGGCACTTTCATTTCTTTGCCCCAAGCCTAGTATGGTACTTTGTATACAATGGATACTTACTAAACTGACCTAGTTACTAAATTGACCAACTTACTAAATTGACCATGTATATAAAATAGATACTTACTAAATTGACCTAGTTTCTTGAGGTCCAAAGCCATCCAAAGGCTTTGACAAGGAGTGTGAATCTGAGTTTGTGTGTGTGTACATGCATATATATAAACATAAAGACATTAGATATTACTAACTGGGACCACTAATATTTAATGTTTGGTTTCAAACTGATCTTAAAACTATTACAAATAAAAATGTAACTTTTCTGTAAGTACAGCTCTCTCCAAGGTGACTCTATTTCTTGATGCGAATACAAAAACAATAGAGCTATTTCAACTATGGGATGATTCACTTATATATTTTGTAGAAAAAAGTACTCACACAGTACATGTATCCAAGAGTAACTTTTCAGTACGAATATAACTCAACAGGTCAAGAATTGGGTAAATGGTATCCAATGTCCAATTGGAGCTACTGATGTAATCTGGTAAAATAAAACAAAATGAAAGGTTCTCTAAGTAATATTATGCAACTTGTTAATCTAATTTTTTACATATATAATTCTTTGGCAGTCCTACCTATCTCTCTATTTTCTAGATCACAAGTATTTTCCTATTAACCCACTCTTCGGTCTTTATATTATAAAACCAGAAGAGATGTCATATTTTACATCAATAATCCCTCTCCTTTTGAAATTTAGGATGACTAGTTCTTGATTTGAGGATTTGAATTAAGGCTGAGCATTAATATGAATGAAAGAAATATGGACACTTTACCTCTTTCATGTTTACATGGATGGAGCTGGAACATATTCTTCTTAGCAAAGTATCTCAAGAATAGAAGAAAAAGTATCCAATGTACTCAGCCCTACTATGAAACCAATTTGAAGCTTTCATATGAAAACTATAACCCAATTATAGCCCAAGAATATGGGGAAAGGGGAGAGGGAGGGGAGGGGGAGGGGAAAGATGTGTTGAGGGAGGATAATTGGTGGGACCACACCTATGGTGCATCTTACAAGGGTACATGTGAAATTTACTAAATGTAGAATATAAATGTCTTAACACAATAACTAAGAGGGTGCCATGAAGGCTATGTTAACCAGTTTGATGAAAATATTTCAGATTGTATATAAAACCAGCACATTGTACCCCATGATTATATTAATGTATGGTTTAATTTTAAAAAATCAAATAGATCAGTAAATTTTACATTATACGACCAATCAAAAAAAACTTACCTTTGACAAAGTCAATACCAATGGGAAGGGCCCTTTCAGGTTCTTGACTTAACAAGTAATACTTCACAGTTTCAAAGATATTGCCAGTTGCACAGGCTGTCTCAGCTAACTGCATACATTCTTTTACTGTGGGTAGCTTGCACTAGAAAATAATGGATTTGACAACAGTGTTACTAAAATTTATAGAGATAAAAGCAATAGTTTAATAAAATCCCATTTACTTATTTTCCTTGTTGCTGTGATTACCTTTGGGATCGTTGACCAGTCCCTTATGGGTCCCCTTGTAACCTTTGTTACAGTCACTTGGGTGGTCAATTCACAGGAGTCCTACTGTTTATGTAAAAATTTAGAACAATGCCAAGTGCATAGCAGAAGCTCAATAAATTATCACTTAAATAAATTAGCACTTAAAATTATCTTAAAGGGATCATATATTTCTCTCCATGTGTCTTTGTTTACTTGTACCCATAATTAGTTAAATCCTAGCACTGTATTCTAAACTAGAATATTTAATATCATCAGTATACCTTCTCATGAAGATCATTTATTTCTTCAACACACCCTGGGTAGAAAGCGCAGAGTTTTACTAAATGTAGTTCATTATCAGGAATCATCATCAGAAGATCAGCTGCCAAATTCCTATTCATATAATAGAATGAAGGGAATAACAGAAGGGAACAGTTTAATGAGGAAAATACTTAAAAATAAAATTTGTAACTATCTCCAAGGAAGGGGATTCATATAACATTCCTCCTTGCTTTTCTGTTTACACAAACAGTACTAATTTCCTACTTTATTATGAAACTACTTCAAATGTAGATTATAGAAATGAATGTGCATGAAAGACAAAGGTATTAAAAAATTCCTAAATATATAAAAAAATCTAAAATTTATCTATATGAATATTTACATATTTATAATCAGTTTTATTAGAAGAATAATTCCCTAACCAAATCAAGTAGTTTTGGATCTGTTCTTTGCAGTGGATTAGTAATATAAAGCAGAATTTTATGAAAGCTAATTCATCACTTTTTTTTTTTTTTTTTT